TCAGGCGGTAGGCAAGAATTTGGAGAGTCGATAAACGCAACGAGAGGACGACGCCTACAGCACAGGTCTGGGCTTGACATATTTATATCTACATAGTACATTATTCAGCAATGGGATGAGAAAAATGCATTGGGCGGCGTTAAATTTGCAGAGGCATGGCACGGAGTCAGGGTGGAAACTGTTCTCTGATACCCACTTACAGGTGACTGGATACCGAATACAATAGCTACATGAAAAACTAAAGTTCCTGTTTGCGTATCTATCTTTTCTCTTCATTGCAGATAGTGAGTCCTGATATGCAGATGGATTGAGTTTGTGAAGTAATGATCGGCTGACAACTTGGTGGTCCTAGTGCTACGCATGTTTACCGGCAGTGGACACAACGTATTTGAAGGTAGCGTTGTATGTCGACGCTGAGCTTTTCCTAGGATGCAAGTGTAAACAAAGTCGATGATACAAGAGGTGACTGAAAGCAAGCGGATCCTAGCTCGGGCCACTTTGTCGTAAACTACTGCTATTTTGCCTGTGTGCCAGGTTCCTGTAAATCTAGCACCTTGGAGCTTGTCTTGTAAATCGACATTCCCCTTTGCCCAGGCGGTGACAAGTACTTTGGTGCCTTCCGATCGTAATGTAGCTATGGAAGATGGCTCGTCTCCATGGGAAGTTCCCATGATGAACGCATCACGCCAGTCCCCGTATAGAATAATTAAAGCCCGGTGAGAATCTCAAATTTTCCCAGTCATTTGTAGGGCCAGAATATTACAGAGCACACCCGCCCACGATCTCGATACTCCCCACTACTGCCGACCTGTTGGGCAGGCCTCGCTACAACCTCTACCGAGCGTGACTTTGGAATATTCTGGTCTCATCACCGTAATGGCATTAATCCCTTCCCGAGGACCATATTTTACGACATACGGATAGAGTGACCGGTGTCTCGCTATATCTTTTACAATTATGCTTTGTTGAGTCGAGTCTCGAAACCTGGGCCATAGTCCCTAAACGTTCAACAAGTGTGATTATTAGTCAGGAGGATAAGGGGCAATGGGTATTACACCTCATTAGTGAGATATACTAGTGTGCCGCTGGAGATATGATGTGTTGCACCGAACAAACCAATAACGGCCCTTCAACAAGCAAAGTGCCGTGATGGTATAAATCTTGATATCAAGGATTGACACGTGCTAAGCCAAATTACGAAACAGCATGAGAACATGCATATGACTGTGGTGAAGTGAAATTACCCTAATCGTGTGCCCGAAGCCTGTCCAAAGCAACTAAGGTTCATAATCTACCAACTTTGCTGCATTATTGTTTTTCAACGTCTTACACAGACAACGAAGACTGATAATTCCACTGCCCAATAAGAGATTGGTTGGTCAGCATAGTTTCATCAGTACATTGTCAAAAGAGAGAGTGCCAGAGCCAGCGTCAAGGTTGCGTACAATGTTGCTCCTAGACCACTGTGTGGAACGAGTATTCGAGCAGACTGCTCAATAGAGTCGTCAGTCATCTGAGTCACCGCCATGAAATTGCGGATCTTAGCTTTAGCACATGTTGTGCTTGTGTTTTGAGAGCGTGGTTGGTCAGGCAACATCACCAGTCGGCTTCCGGTTGTTGTAGGCTCTTTCAGGTACCTGTCCAAGCGCTACTAACGCAACTCGGTCTCTGTAACTTGGGCAGCATGAGAAGAAAGAGAGCTGGATTGTTTGGATGAAGACTGTCTCTGTATATATATGTATGAGTTGACATATTTCTGCGATACAGTGTTACAAGCAGCAAGGGCCATACCCATTAATCACAGGTCTGGTGCTGGTGTGAGCCATTGTTTCTTGCAATCGAAGTATAGGAAGGCAGCTTTGAGAAAGGACGCAGCGCGATTGAAACAAAGATAAAGATAGTTCAGACGGTCAGCAAGAGGATATATTCGTTTATGGCAAGCAAACTCTTCGAGTATGGTGAAGACTTGGAATGGGAGATCAAGCAATGAAGAAGACCACACGCTGATATCTGGAAGGCATGGCCAGCTTATGATTTTCTCCAGGGAGGCAATGAAACGCATGTGTCCAAAACCACCAAACCGGCATATGAATATAAGATTAGCAAGAACTACTTTTGAGTACACAAGAGTACAAGGACTCACGATAAACTAATATGGATCTCACAGTTGGTCTGATTTTACATTATGGCGATGGCAAGTACAAAAGGATACAGGTCTTGGCGCGGGGCTAAGAACGGAGTTAATAAAACTGATCGGGATAGGAAGAGGTTTAGATTGGCTGGAAAATAACCAAGGATCCTCTGAATCCTGCATAGGCGTTTGGAGCAGTCAATCAACATCCATCAAAAGCAAGGCAATCATCTCGCCGATCCCTCGTGAGGACCCTGAATATGACTAAACGATCTGACTAGGAAATCCAGCGTTTGTCCCGCTCGGCCTTACCAGCGTTGCCCATCCGTGGCACTGGTGCATGCCAGGATCGACGTCCAATACGCAGTAGCACCCCATTAGTATTGTTTAGCATAACTCGAGATCTTGTCTTCTTAGCTTTACTTGATAGCGCTGTAGTAAACCCGAAATGTGTAACACCTTCATGAGGGCTCAGATTTGGTCCCGAGCCCAACTCGCTCAGACTCTGAGCCACCCACTTGCGTCAGAACAGCAACAGCCAGCCATTGGTGTCTGGGCATAGAAATTTTAATCGGTAGTCAGGTGCCCACCCTGGAAAATCGCGTAGGCACATTAAGCATTTTTCCTGATCGGACCCGGATGAAGATGCCAGAGGGCACCTTCACTTGATTGAAGGACTCAACCTTTTGGCCGACCACTGCTGCAGACTTGACAAAGTCATTGTAGGCCAAACGGCACATCGAACGAACCAATAGTTTCTTACATTGTGGAGGTTGCCGCCTTTTATGTGCGATGCCTTTCTGTGATTTGTAGACATTTTCACAGAGTCAAGTCGATATAAGCGGTACGTATATTCCTAGAGATATCCGACCGTCGTCATGTACTCAGCCCTGCTTTTGAAATTGGTTTCCTCAAACTCGGTACGTAGGGTTACTATCATGCGTTTGTTCTGCGTATCCCATGAGGCGTCCAGTCATTGCGACATGCATTTTTCGGCAAACCGAGAGGTGGGTTTTTGTAATTAAGCCGTCGTGTCGCTTCAAGGCTTTCTTAAGCTTGGTATTTATGAACGCTCCCTGGCCCAGAAAGTTGGAAACGTCGAAGGACTCGATATATACAGGCCATATCAAGGCGCTCATCCGCACGGAGTTACTATACTATTTTCTCATCAGTGCTCTCCCAGGACAGGAATCTTGACATTTGCTGTTTTCGGGAATCATGGACTCTAAGATATGACTGTCTACGGGGCAACGATCTCGCTCATGGTAAATCTGTTCCCCCATCTGTGTCTGCCATGGTGGTGTCGTTGGATGAGGATCTCAACGCTTAGCTCTGCTAAGGGCTGATTCACAACGGGTAGCGAGTTGCGCTATGTATTATTCCTGTAGTGTGACATGGGGTGATAGGTATTGTGCCCTGTTAGTGAGATACAATATTATGGCGCTGCAGATACGATCTGTTGTACCGGACGAAACAATGATATATTATTCCTATAATACTGTCACATAAGGCAGAGTCCTTGAGCTTGCTTCTGCCACAATTCAGTGCTTGACTTCTTACCTGTCATCGCCTTACACATTGCCTACGGCATTGGTACTCGTGAATTTGCTGCAGGTCAATCGAAATAAGCGAAAATGATCATCGTTCTTGTGCCTTCCACCTTCTGGGTACAGAATTTTATTGACTCAACAAATGCTTGCGAGTGGACTTTCACCAGTAATAGATGAAATGATCCTGAAAATTCCCGGAATTTGTCGGTATCTTGAAGGAAAGACACAAGTATTATATGAGATACGATGGTGTAATACACCGTCTTACCTGATGTCCTGCCAGATTACCTGTGAGGTTCTGGCAGTAAAACATAACGGAGTTGTAAAGCTCGGTTCTGTGGATTAAGCCGCTGGCAACCATCAAGCCCAGGAAAGAGGACACTACTCTACAAGCACTGTCACGCAAAAGCTCAAAATCAATTAAATAGCCTTTTCATCGGCACAGTTCTAGTTGGAACAACAATATCGGATCTGCCTCACCATCCAGTCACCACCTATAGATACGAGATACGATGGGCTCAGGGTGGGCTATCATCGCGAACCACGCGATCTTCCAAGACCGGTTCCTTCCACCCATGGAGTGTAACAGAGGCACTCGTTACGATTGTCTGTTGGTGAAGGCTCTGCTTATGACCTTGGTAACTGTATCTAGCCGATTAAAGATAATATCACGACCGTATCCGAGCCCCCGACAGTCTTAATGAGAACAATACTGGTAAGGCTGTGGATCATACGACGCCAAATATCTGCAGTTATTCCGGGTCTATTAGTTCTGAGAATAAAGGCAGGCTTAGTCGGGATATATTGCCAAGGACAAGAAGAGATTACGGCTTCAGCCAACGACGGCCATAAATTGGGGGTCACAGATCAGGGGCGCTTATGTGGACAGAAGATGACGAAAAGTTTGATGAAGACTTCCATTGAATGAACTCCCAGTTTATCATCTGCTGGAAGTAAAGGCAATCAATTGAAAGTCTTGAATATTTCACCATCGCCAGCCACAACCTGTCGACCAACAATCTATGCCCCGGAGTTTGCAACTATGAAAGCAAGGATAGTGTCCCACCGCACCGCCATCATGGAATATGCCAGATAAATGAATGCAAACATGTGTTAGAGAGGTGCCGGAAGTCGACGCTTTTGCAGTGGTGGAGATGAGTGAATGACATGGCGCCACATCCTAGCAGGCATCGCATACTTGGAGGCCAGGTGTTGTAAAGCTGGAATAGTTGAAGAATGCTGCCAAGTTATAAAAAAGTCGTGATGCTCATGAAGCAACGACATGTGTAAGGGCATAAAGACTTGCCATTAGCCGTCGTTCAGTTATCCGCAGAGATACGTTGATTGATACCCGCATGGCTACCAGCGAACGAGGTTGTAGATGGCCCTGTAACTAACAATGAGAAAATAAGTTGAATGCTTCCAATGACGAGACTTACAGGGGCCATCACGGCGAAACGAAATGGAATTGTGGGAGGGAATGGCGGCCGGCACCGCTCCCACCGGTCTAGTCGAAGCTTCCCATGAGGTTCTGTATCTTGGTTGACATTTCGGTCTCGGCTGTTGCAGTAGTCGTGCGTTGGCAGCTGGGCAGTTCCGGTAACATAACGGATCTGTTGCCCTCGCCTGTGGGCTCCTGCAGATAGGTGCCCACGCGCTGTTCTGTAAGGAGTGACTGGGTTGCTGGGGAAGTTGGATATTCCGATCGAGGGGGGACTTCCGAAGAATGTTCCCTACGTATAGGTATTGATCAATACTAATCTAAAGAGTAGCCAGTACACAATGAACAAGATCATACCCATTGATAACAGATCCTGTGCTGGTATCTGGCATAATTAGGTCGCGGAATATGGTCCGAAGAGCTCTCAGACCTAAAAAGCACGAAGTCACAGAATTGGACCAGTGACCAAAGAATGGAAGAGGTTCAAGGAAGGAAGAGAGTCAACAGAAACCCTGAAGCACCTGCGAGGATAATGTATGAGAAACGAATGCAACGGTATCAAATTTGAAAGAAGGTCGATCGAGCCATGAGGAGAAACGGGCAAGAAGAGGCCCGTCTCTCTTATATGAGAAGGTAGCCAGCAGAGCTGCTACGAAAGTAAGGCAGCCGGGATGTCCAGATCACGAGTGAATGTGGGCAAGGTTTTGTTTACTGACACCCGGGAGTATGGAAAAGATAGAGCCGGGTCTTAGACTGCCGCAATCTCTTATTGCTGCAGACTAGAATGCTCAAGTGTACTACCCAGGGTATCGTCTACAGATGGGCAATCCCCACGGTCTCGTCTGTCAATCGTAACAACCCCTGTCGAGGCCAACGGCACAACCCCTGTCAAGCCAGGAAGCCACCACTGACTGGGTGCCCCTCTCGGTGCTTCCAAGTGCCCTGCTTGATCCGACATGGAAATGTCTCGGCCGCAGTACGAGGTGTCGTGTGTAATAATACATCAGACATATCGTTTGTCCCTTACTCTTTGCCTGCCCGGCCTGGAAAGATTCGGTGAATAAGAGATCTTGGGTGCGATGAGCAGACCTTAACTATGATGATATACTTCAGCCGAGCGAGCGAGGGCCATCTAAGATACCCGTGGCAATGAGTTCGCTCTTATTGTTGGACGTTGGCGAGATCAAACATGTAACTTACCCCGTGCAGCCTTCGGACCCGTTGTGCTAGCGCTTGGGCAAACCGAATCTCTAAAATCTGGGGTGTTATCGCTTTCCTCGATCTGCAGTAACGCCGCGTGGGAATGCAAACCAGGATCATTCCCTGCTAAGTAATCAAACCTGTGCGCAAACCTAAAGCATTGTCTTCCCCCCTGCCCCCATTCAGTTGTGGAGTGCTGGTGGTCTACTTACAGTAACTCACAAAGCTCCGCTGCAGGTATCTCCTCCAAACAAAAGAACATCGAGTGACTTTGGCGGTCGTTTCACCGTAAACAACGTATTGACGCTGTTTCTGGCTTTTCTCGGAGTTTACTACTACGGTTCGAGGCCTGATTTCTGCGAGAGTTGCGATATATGAGGGCGGATACGTAAATTGGTTTAGGATATTACGTAGTCCCAGAAGCTTGCCAGTTCTTGCAGCGGTTTCCCTCTCATGTTGAAAGTTTTAGGAGACGCCATGCAGCTTGAATCAACCCCACAGTTGCACTTGACTGAATGCTGACCCTGTAGAGGAGCATGTCGCATCGCATATTCTCCGTGAGACTAGGGTAAGCGAAGAAATGTCTTTTCGGATCGACTGTCAATTTCAGTGACATGTACACAAACCACATTTGAGAGACCTTTGATTGATAGCTAGCTTAAAATGTTTACTTCGTGCTTGGGCTCTCATGTTCAAAACATGTATCGTACGCAGATTCGAAAATAGCAGGCATGCATGTTGTCGTATCAAAGCCGTGGATGCTGCTTGCCGAAGCGTGTTGCATTCGCTCAATGTGGACGAAAGTCAAGCATGAGAAGCCCAAGCCGTTATGAAAGTAGGGATGTCAGGTACCAAGAAAACCTGCCAACGTCAACACCATTCCCTCGGTGCGAGCTTCCAACCAATAGATCCTGAACCTAATTCTCCAAATCTTTGCCAAAAGTTCCCCACGCCAAGCACAGAAACACTTGGGTTGCTGAACAGGGTAATCCTTTTATTTACTTAGTAATTTCTGAACCACAGCAGCGGAATCTATATTGCAAGCAAGGGTGTAGACAGCATTCATAGGTCTTGGTTATCTTGGACAAGGTTCATGCCAAACTTCAGGGTCTTTTCCCTGAGTAACTAGTTTGCTGACACAGAATCTATCATCTGCTGAACAGCGAGGTAGTGTCTGGCCAATATCGTGGGGAAGAGGCCGTTTCATCCAAGGATCGCCGCCTCATTATTCGTTGCATACTCATGCTGTGTGCAGATGTGCATGAGAGCAATTTATTGCATAATCTAGACGGGTTCTCCTATATTTGAGTCGTGGAGTTGGAAGCGTGTTGCTGGTCACATTGTATCATCGTGGGAGGACGAAGAATTCACTGGTAGTAAGAAATAAGCAACAGAGTCAAGAGGGTCAAGGCTCAAGAGGTGCATCATAGACTGGACCAGGTCGATCGTGACAGGGGTGACGGGATGAGAGGTTGCCGAGGGTTAGTCGTAAATCTTGTCCAATTATCCCTGCACCGTAAGGAATCTATGGCAGGTAACCTTTTGAACAAGTAAGTGGCCTGCGCAGGGGAAAGCCTGTCCATAAAGCGTGCTCTTCAGGCCACCCGTCGATTAAACCAAGTTGACCTCATCTCATCATGAGTGGACGAGGCAGGCAGTACAATGGGCCCTGACAAGTGGGTGATAAAGTATTTGGCAGACACAGGGGTGGCAACCAGATCGCACCAACCGCTGCAGCCGTGGAAGGTACATGCGAATCCCGATCCGTACTGATATCAATACAAATCTCGCTGAAGATGCACCGTGCAACATGCTCTGGAACTCGTTCCATATGTGTGAGTGTGCATGCTGGCGCCTGTCCGAAAGATCTTACCGCTAAGGTGGGTTCATCACTGCAAGATGACAGCTTCAAGTGTCATATGCGTAGAAGCATCATCCTGTAACATACCTAGGTGATGCCACCGTACGACGAAAGGGACTGAACGCCATGAGAGGATGAAGCAAAGAGGGCCGGCATAGTGAATCAATTGGTGCATGGGTCATCGAGCAAACGATCGAGACTCCAGATAACCCTGTTTTTATTTTACTTGTTTTATTCTTATTATTAAGAAATTTTTTTTTAATTTGGGCAGATCCACTAACCTGAGGGCCCAAATCGCGTGCCTGCGGCCGTCGCCCTCAGTTGTCGGAAAACTTTCGGTGAGCTGCCAGGGTCATGGTATATTTTCTGGTTGACAACACATCAACAGGGCTCACACCTATTCAAAAGGTGTAACCTAAGTAAGTAAGGACGCTAAAGGTTTCAAAGCATCGCTACCCAATACTTATAGAGCAAACCGATCCAGAGGCTTAAATTGTGGAGAACCAACTTCAAGTACAACGTACAGTAGCTTTTCGTGAAACACAATAGAAATCAATTTCGATGCTGGCATTTTACGCGCTAGAAGTTTCACCAATTTTCCATCATCCCACTGTGCAGCGAGCATTGATTGCATGTCAAATGTTGGGACGAGTGCAACTGGGCACTCCTGGCTCCCCAAAGCCGCCGGCTGGTCCGATTTCTTTCAGATTTTTATTATTTTCTTTTTCGTAATCAATAATCACCATCTAGTCCAGACTAACAGATCTGATCGTCACATGCCACGAAAGATGATATTACACGCTCCCCAGGGCCTCGATCATTTCCAGCATACCACAAAACACGCCAACATGGACTGCCCGCCATTTTACTGCAACAGCAGACTGAAACTTTCTCGATGATCATTAAGTATAGATACCCCGTTGAACATGTTCATGGAAATCTAGTTTTCGAGGAGACGTGTAAAATGCTCCTACTTTTTACTTCTAAGAAACATGCACAGGAAATGACTCCATCTGCAAATTCTCTTGTCTACCGACATGTATGCATCTATGATTTAAGTCCATGGAGCTAGGGAAATCTTAGTTAGACGTAGTATAGATATAGTGCCTTGCACCGTGCTAAGCCTAGTTGCTAGGGATCCTGCTGCTAAAGATCCTCCGGGCCCTTCAAGGCCGCCGTCGTCATCGAATTGAATTGACCGATAACAAAAGCCTTTGCTCAACAAAAGCCTGGCGAAACACACCCGTTAGCACCAAATGTGTCGTTCATATCCCCAGTCTGATCTTTGCGGCAATCGCTTTGTTCAAATCTGCCCAAAGCGACCGGGCCCCCTGTCCGCTCAAGATTGTGACAAGGGATTCTTGCCCGTCCTGCCGTGTTTTTGGGTACGCTCGGAAGAATACCGACTACTAAACCACCACTAAGCCCTGTGACACCCAAGTCATGCGGTTTCGCCAAGGATCACCCTTGTGTCTTCGAGAGCTCGCCAGTTCCAATTGCGGGCACCCTTGGATGTTTTGGAAGCTGCCTTGATGAGTAGCATGTCTGACGAGCGGTCCTACACCTCTGAGCGACACACGGAAACGTGGCCGCTTGTTTGAAATCGGGAGCTTCAAGGTCGAACTGTCACAGCGTTTTCGGGTATATGAATACAGCACTTAAACTATCATGGTGGAGCATATCAATGCATTATTGGAATTGACGTGCTGACTCCTGCTATGAAGTATCGCAGAATCAGACGCCCGCTTGCTCCTCATTGCTGCATTTGCGCCCTCCAAGTGTTGTAGAACAAGTCACAAACAAGGTGTAGGGTGTTATGGACTGCAAGCTAGCAAGGTGTGCGTGTGTGTGTGTTATCGACGCAAAGCAAAGCGTTACACACGGCAGAAGAGGTTGGTCCTTATATTATCGATGTAGAAGATTCAGGCACGCAATCTCTCTACTTGGGCAAAATCCACCCACTATCTATCGATTGTATTGAGTTTCACTGACTAAACGGTGTAGGCCGGCATCATAGGAAGCTAGCTGTAGTGGGGAAATGGCAAGGAACGAATTAGTTTGTTTCTAGGCTGTTCATGACCCTGTATCATGAATACTGCACCTAAGAGAGCGCTCTCCACTGGTATGTCATGGGCGCTCGTACGCCGCTTTTGGGAAGCAGGTCCCATCTCGTGTTCCCACCGTTTCGATGTACGGTGTAGAATGGCACGAGAGAGTGCACCATACCGTTGATTGTGGGAAGCTAGCGGGCTGATCCCAACAAGGTCCCCTGCTTAGTGGAAGCGGCTCTGCCTGGCTGGCAGCAGCCCATCCCCATGAGCTGGACAAGGA